CACACACACACACACACACACACAAAAACCCTAATCAGAGCAGGACGCATGATTTATATGCTCCACATTAACACGCCTGTAAACTTCAGTCTCACGAGGGCCCGGAGAGTCTTTTGTGTGAACAGGGAGGTGTGCCTTCATGGTTAGTTTCTTTCAGTCAGACTCCTCAGGTGAAATGCAGCACCTGCTTACTGTATGAATCGCAGCAGACAGGCTGGCAGCTGGCAATAGCTGGGAATAAACTGGCTAAAACTGACACAAATTGTACAACTCATAGTATTTCACTAAGACACATGGCAATTAAACTACATTCAGTGCCTTAAAATATATTCTCATTCCTCTTTCAAACATGTATGCCCTCTGCCATAAATAACTATTAACGCCTTTGATGTATCTGTATTTGTATTTTGAAGCCAGAGGACTCACTGTGGATTGAAAGTACTCAGGCGAGAGTCCCTCCAACTCGAGTATACGATCCTCCAACTTCTTGAGTCGCTGGTAGACACTCAATGGAACTGGACCCACTAAGGAGTAAAACACTTGTTGAACAGTTTGAAAATTTATTACTGCACAAGACTTGAAATTTAGAGTAGGAGCAAACAAAGAATGACTGATAACAACAGATAAACCAAATAATTGATCACTTTATAAATAAAGGCTTACTATAAGTAAAAAATACAGTGCCAATAAAAGGTGTCATGTAATTGCTGAGTTAAATATATTGTATAATGTTATATACAAGACAAAAATAATTTGAGCCTTACAATAACTTCCTGTCTCTCACCTGCTGGAAGTTTGAGGTGAGCCTCGATGTTGTTGAGTCGTTCCTCTATGGCTGCATTTCCACAGTCTCTCGTCAATGGCCCCCTCTGTTTATCCCCAGCCTCTGCTTGGTCTCCCCCACTACGGGTCTGGGGTCCGTAAGTGTTTACCACTCGTGTGACTGCCCAGCCAAGAAACAAACACAGAAGATACAACTCGGTCCTAAACAGATTCTAGTAAACAACATGTTTTAGTTTAATTACACAAATGATAGTTTAAAAAAGAAGCTGTTAAAAATTGTGACATTTTCTTACCTTTTACGTGGCTTTTAAAACCCGGGTAAGGAGTGAATACTGCATCTGTTCTGGCACAGCTGTTTTCTACAGATGATCACATTTAATATAAATTGCAATTAGAATTACCAAATGCAATTAAACATGATTACCAAAAGCTGTATATGTATATCACACCTGAATAACAACTACTCCTGATTTCTGTTACTGGTGTCTCACACAGGCTTTGAATTTAAAAAAGGTTCTTCTGTCTCGTGTTTTTCTGGACTAAGCGGGTTGTGTTTTGAGGCCGAGTGTGTTAGCTACTTCAGCCCCACTCTTGGAGCAGTTCAGCCTGACCTCTCGCCTGTGGAAATCAGCTCTCTCCCAAACATTGGCAATCTGTGTGCAGGCACCCTCTCCACCCTGCCCCCCCCCCTCTCCCATTCTCACCCTGATTGCAGTCGATCACGTTGCAAAACTCGCGTACATTGTTTTCATTGATCTCCATCTGCTTGCGTTCCATAAATGCAGATATTCTTCGCTCAATCTAGGGTTACAATGAAGACAACATAATAAGATACAATGGATTGATGAGGTGGCAAGAATGCTATGTTTTTGACTATTTAACGATAATGATGTGGGACAAATAGGGTGCGTCAATTTACATTTCAGAAATTTCCAGGTAGCCAAAAAAGTTGAACTGCTTGCCATCATCACATGATGGAATATGAATACTGTTTGCTTGGCTACCAAAATAAATGCACAACAGAATGGGGCCTCTTGTCCTTCATCCACATGCAATCTCAGAGTAATGAGCATCCACTTCATAATCCATCAAGGACCTGGCCCTCTCTCAAAACCCTCCAGCAATGTGGTCTGTTCTACCCCACCGCAGCACTAAAGGACCCCTTATTCTCTACCGAACTCAGCTTATCAGGTCTCCATCAAGCATTTGCTTTGCTGCGGCACGTCATGTGCACATCCTCTGGAGCAATTACTTATGATTATTCATTTGCTTGACAGAGTGTAAAGAGGGCTCTAAAATTTCACTGCCAGAACAGCTGACAGATCTGCTGACAGCGACCAACCTCTGACTTCCCAGCTCGGATCTGAACCATGACGTCATCAGCCGCCGTCTTGCTCTCTGTAGCCCCGGAGCTGTGCGAATGGTGCTCAGACTGCGTGGCCGTATGTGCACTGCTTGAAGATGAGATGACAGCATCTTCTGATGTGTTCTTTAAAGAGGATGCATCAGCCTCAGCATCCAACAATGCCTTTAGGCTTTCTGAAACAGCCTAAATAAACAGCAGGCCAGAAAGAAGAATATTAGATGTAATTATTTAAATCTCTGAAGAATAATCGAAAATTTAAAATTCAGATATTGTTAATTCTAATCTACTTTTATTTCCTTGCAATGCTAACACAATAAAAAGCTGCATAATAATCTATGTCAGCTCTTGAAATTCCTCTAATGTTTTTACCTGTAATTTAGCGATATGTCCTTGTAATGAGCTGTAAACATGAGCAGGTGGAGATGATTGGAGATTCACAGCGCTGGGGTTGACATCTATTTTCAAAGCAGCATCCCCAAATTTCAGCTTAATTTCAGGAAAGACAACGTGTGGATGTTACTGTGGATCAGCATTTAACATGCAATTGCATGCCAACAGGACAATATATACATTTGTCTCATATATGCAAGTTACAATTGATTGATGTGAAAATACATAAACTATTTTTAATAATTAACTGGGTAATTATTATTGATTTGTTACTGTTCAAGAAAAAGCATTTAGTGGTATCAGCTTCAATTTAATGTAAAATACAGGATTAGTTTCCTCTTGTTTTCAGCTGTTTTTTGTCACTGTAAAATTAATACATTTGGCTTTGCAATGGTGGTCAATCAATACATAATTAAAAATAAGATTATCCCAGACTTAGGAAAATAATGAACTTCGATAGATTCATAAAGCGAGTGAAAGGCGATGGTTTTATTTTATTTAATGCATATTTTATTTGTGCTTTACCACACAAATAGCAGGGCTTGAGATCATTTACTGCATGTATGGAATAAAGAGGTTTATTTAGATGTGTATTTAATCCAATATGAGAAGCACGGCAACAGGGATAATGACATGAAACATTGCTGTTACTGATGAAACAGAATGCCTAGTTAAGCCCAGTCAAGGCATAAGCTCGATCTTATATCTTAAATTACTTTAAAAACAACACTGAACCATTTAAAGCACAGTTACTTTGCAACAATCTGCTTGTCAAAAAAAGCACCACAGCGCTGTGTGAGTGACAATGAATGAACAGTGTGGGTCCGCTAAACAGCCCTGCTAACACCACATTGCTAAAAACATTAGCATGCAGCCAGCTAACACCCCGGACTGAAAGGAGCGATGTCCGAAACAAGGCAGCTTAAACAATCCAAACAAACCTCTTCCCCGAAGTCTGCTAGCAGTTGCAGTAACGAATCCATACAGTCTGTATAGCTGGACATTTTACTGGAGTCACTGGGAGGAGCATGATTTCTACTTAGCTTCATTGCCTCCGCCATTGCTGTTCGACAAGCCGAAGAATACTGTGCGCTGATTGGTTCGAGTGCAGGCTCCACACACGCATGCGTACACGCACACAACCGTAGTTGTGAGAATATTAATATTACTGCTATAATACTAGTAATAATAAATGCTTGAATTAAATTCACTATTTTTACTGGGTTGTATTGTGCAAGTATTTCTGAAAGCTTTAAGGCATTTCTCTTTTTCAGTCTTTTAACAGATTGAAAGGAAATTGTTTACATAATTCTTAAAGTCAAGGATCAACTTTTAAAACTGCAATTACAATTAAGTATATATCAGTTTTCTGTAGATATAGATGTTAGATACTTAGATATTATCAGGCTCCATGTTAGCAAATTGAAAAAAAAAACAAAAAAAAAACCCCAAACAAACAGCATAAAAAACAAATAAAGTTCTAAAATGTGAAATTTAAAAATCTTTGAACTGTTCTTCGACGCAGGGTGGGTAAGATCATCTATATATATATAGGAAATCTGATTTTATAAAACTTTGAAAAACCTGTTTTATAGCTTTATTTCCAAACTTCATGCACATTTCATCTTTTACCCAACTGTTTCTACTTCTCTTCAGTCTGTTCCCATAAAATCCAAACTAAATATGCCTATTAATGACTATCATCAAATATAATAGCCCTCTTCATGCATTAGTGACCCTGTGGTTTTATACAGTAATCTATTAGCAGTCAAGCAACATTTTATTGATGCCTCTAGTCAAGTTATTAAGCTAATGTTGTAACGTCATACACTGGTAGACAGTTCTATTAATAATCAAGTATTATTTTAATATTAATAAAATAATTGTATGACTTGTATTCTCTACCTGAAAACAAGCCTGTAAGTAGTGCCACATCTGGAACATATTATTAAATGCCCAAAGATGTCCAGTCTCTGAACTTTCTCTTTTAACGTCTTTTAAAGCATGTTTTAAATCATTTATTCTCTGTTGTCTTATGGCACGTTTATCTGTCTAATTTTATTTTCACTATATGTTTAGAGTGCCAGTTCTTATATATTTGTATGACCTGCAATTTGTATTACGTTTATTTTAAAACACTGTGAAAGCAGTCTCCCCGTCTACTGAACTCACTCAAATGTGCCGTTAACTGTATTCTCAGTCACTTACTTTTCAAACAGGCGAAAGAATGGTCACTCAATTATAAAGATATTGTCCCTCTGACCGCAGTGGACTGTGCAGCAGGGCATTGGGATGGGAACCTGGTTACAATGGCGTATTTTTCTGTGTTGAGTGACTGTGGGAAAATCTCCCTCCTCTATTCAGACATTTTTCCCTTCTTTTCATATAATGAGGAGAGAGACTGATGAAGGAAACAACAGAAAAAGAACAATTACAGGCAAAGAGAAGGCACAACCACTCAGAACTCAATAATGCTCTTTAGGAGGGTTAATCATTTTAGGAAGGGGTCTGAAGACAAGCCTTTTTACTTTAATTCATGTCTGAGGTGATATTTTCCCCCCCAAAACAGGAAGGAACTGTAACACTTGACATGGTTTGACATGCTGAGCTATTGCTGAATGTTCCCACACAGCAAGGCGCTCAGAAATTAAAAAACTGCTCATTTAATTTGGCTGGCTTCAGACCAAAGAGCTGTTTATTCTTCTAACGGGGAAGAGTTGTGATTTAAGGCATTTATATGAGCCATTAAAAAAACATGATAGCCTACTTGAGCTCAGTGTTTTTACATTTAGCTATATTTACATTTTGAAACCAAAACTAAGTATTACAGATATTCACAATCTTTAAATGTCACCTTTTCCTCTAATATGTTCCTACATCTTAAAAAGAATTTTAGAGGATTAAAAAAAACAGTGGTTGAAGAAGTATTTACAAGTACCACAGCCTAAAAATATATTGTTCATGCACAACGGCCTTAGTCATTGTTGGCTTACACTGTGGGGTCATTATTACTGATGCATCAACATAAGTAGTACTGTATTTATCTAATTGGCTGAAAATAAGGTACAGCAAACTGATTTAAATGCACTAACTTGTTTCCAGAGAATGATTTGACCTCGGGTTTTTCTTGCTGTTATTAAATCATATTAATTGTAGATTCCTAACATAACATTAGAATTTATAACCATTTATTAAGTATTTATGCACTACTTGTAAATGCTAAAGCCATTATAGAGAATTGCTAAAAAGTGTTACAAGGATACCTTAATGGTTCTTTGTGCAACTTAATAAGATTTTTTTTTTCTTTGCTTTACAAGAATGTGGTCTTGGCAGGCAGAGGGAATTTGTGCTATACAGGAAATAAGGTGGTCCTAGTGTTAGAGGGAAGTGAGTGAAGAGGGATTGTTGCTGCCTCTTGCCTCAGCCACATCAGCCACCTGCAGGAAAGTAAAAAGGTCCGCTTTTGAGCCTGTCTGCTGCACGGTGGCAGATTATGTTGACAGAGCATGAGACGGAGTAAAGGCCAGACATGAGGATCAGGAGAAAGAGGCAGCACAATGTAAAGAGCGAAGTGGATTGCAGTAAGAAGGTTTTGTCTCATTTCCACCAGAGAGGAATAATTAAAAGTATTCCTTTCTTGTGAGTTTGGGACCAAGCTTCCCACAGATCAGCTCATTACGTACTGCTTTTAAGTAATAAAAAGATATATGTGGAAACAAATGTAAATTTTGCAGAAAAAATGTTTTTTAAAAAAAGACTAGTCATGGTGCTGGATTTGAGAGTGATTTCAGTAGCTTTTTACAGACTTTTTCTGAACTGCTTTGGCACATTACTTGCAACACTTTTGGAATTCTTAGTTCTGAAGATGCATGCAAACATAAGCAGTATTTACATGTGCATGAACTGTAAAGGTAAAATGTTTATGTACTGTTGTCTTCTATGTCCACTCATATAGTGGAAATCACTGGGCTGCCACTTTTGTCCACTTGGTCACAGATTCCTACTGAACTCCTAATCCTCCCTATGAAGTGTAACAGGGGAAGAACTGCTTTGTTTGGTAGACCCATCAACTGCAGTTCTCTTTCTATTTGCTGTTGTTTCTCCTTGTTACACTGCCACACATCCTCGCTTGTCTCCCTATACTAACGCTATTGTCCCAGAAAAAGGTTTATTTGGGCTCCTACTAGTTCATAAACTGTTGTAAATCTATATCTATATACAAGCATTTATACATATATAATTATATGGACTTTTACATGTGATGGCTTATACAAAGAAATAATGCTATTATATTTTGGAGAATAAAACTTTTCAGTTGATAGAAACACTTTTTTTTTTAAACACAAATACATTTTTTTTTTAATTTTTTTTACACTAGACAACTAGTCATTAGACTTTGCTTTTAGGTGCTTTGGAGTCCTCCCACCGTCCAAAGCTGTACTTGTTAATTGGTGTGGATGTAAGAGTGTGTGGTTGTCTGTCTCTCTGCTGACCCGGTGATGGAGTGGTGACCTGCCGAGGATGTTCTCTGCCTCTATTCCCACTCACCCCAGGACCTAGAATTGTGTGATACCAACACGTTCGGGCTGGTGATACAGTATTGACAATAGTACCATGTTTATCGGGTTTAAGTTTATGATTATCGACATAGTTTAGGATGCAAGTCAATTACCATTAGTTAACTGGCAACAAAAATAGTAAATTAGTAAATTCAAATTTTTTATTTGTATAGCACTTTTCACGATAAATATCACAAAATGCTTCACAATGAAAATAATAAAACATAAAAACATGTAGTCCACAGATCTCGAGCTCAAAGGGAGCTTGAAAGCACTGTCATGAAAGCTCTGTCTCCTTAGTTTTTTTTGTCTTGTGTGCTGCACAGCTAGCAGATCCTAATCTCATGACCCCAGGGACCTGCAGGGGATGTATGCATGTAAAGGCTCACTGATGTGCACTGTTGCTCAATAATGCAGGGCTCTAAAAGTCAAAAAACAAAATCTTAAAGCAGACTCTCAAGTTAACTGGGAGCTAGTGGAACTAAATTAGCAACAGTGAGAGGTGGGAGGCGAGTGACTTGGAAGACTTATTCAAAAGTTTCGTGGCAGCATTCTGAACCACTTGCAAATGTTCGAAAGAGGTTTTGTTAAGACATGTGAACAATGAATATAAATAATCCAGATGTGATGAAATAAAGACATGACTAAATCAGAGTATGACACAGTGGAGCTCAGCTTAGCAATATTTCTTAAGTGATAAAAGCAAGCGTGAACCAGATATTTAACATTAGCAAAGTTAAAGCTGAATCAAAGTGTTCTATAGACATTTTGGCAAATGTAGCAAGTGTAACTACAATTTCCATCAGAAATGTGTTCAGGGCACAAAAAAGGACTTTTATTTTCTCCTGGAAAATTTTCAGCCATCCAGCTGATAATAAAATCTAACCAACTAGACAACTATTTAACTTAGAAACAGCTTGAAGCTTAAAACAGATATATAACAAGATGTCATCTGCATAGAGTGATAAGAAATTTTAAATTATGCTGAAAAGGGACTAGATATAAGAAAAAAAGAAAAGGCCCCAAAACAGTACCTTGCAGCACACACTATAGGCAAGAGAACTGGAAAAACATCTTTACTTGGAAGCAGCTACAGGAATTATTCAGAATCTTTTTCCTGCTTACACTAAGGGAAACCCAGCTCTTCATAATTCATTGTGAGTTAGCAATGCAATGTGATGCAGCCTCAACTAAAAGTTAGCCACAAGGGACAGGGAGGTAAGTTATTGCTTTAAGCCACTTCTGATTGTGAAGAGCATTAATAATATGGACAAAGTGTTAAGGATCCTCATGAAGTTATTAATTGGCTTTTACTGCTGTGCACTGCTGTTTCTGCCACATTTAGTCTACAATCACAAGAGAAAGATGTAAGTCTATACCAGCACTCAAGCTCTTTCCTGTGCGTTTGCTTAATCAGCTTAATACAGGTCAATTTGAATGTTATGGAGCAATTCAAGAGGTCTGGTGTTTGATCAGTGTTCATATACGGTTTTACCTTCTTTTTTTCAAATGTAGCT